CCTCCCGCTTTAACTGGTATGTGACGTAATTTCATCTAGAGATCTGAATAATAGTATTTCGCATGCAGCTTTTAATCCCGATTTATAATTCCACAGTATTGTAGTGTACTATATATGGTCGTGTCTATAATATACATAATCCGTTATCATATCTCTCATGGATATTTACTACCTTATACTAAAATATATTTGGATAATTAGAGTACTAACAAATTTTCACCTATGGTCCGGTTAGACTTAAAATACACCACGAATATTCACGTTTGAGAATAATTGTTGGTATGTGTTGATTCTTGGATATGTTATCTTCGCCGACCTGTACTTCGTTTATTAATTCGAACTTCCTAGTTTGCGTAAAAAGGGTGAGTTTCGCGATTTTGACATCGAAAATGCCTTTGCTTCATTATTTGCTGAGGGACGGCCGCTTAGGTATGTGCTCTGTAACTTACAGAAAATGAACCTAAAAACGTTAGCTAATCAAACAAAAATGATGTTGTACTAAAGTCCAAAAAGTACGTTCAAGGTCTGCATTTTTTCGTAGCATAAAAAGGATTTACTCTCTTGCTTATTGAGCACCCTCAAATCAACTGATTTCCATTCCCCTCAAGAGTCAAAATGGTATGTGCCTCCATTTTATGCCAGGACTCGAAAAAGTTTTGTTTGCTTGACGTGTTCATTTGCTTTCAATTGCGTTTCAGTGGCTGTCACAGTTGTATTCTGAGTCTTGTCGATAACATTTTGGTTCAAAGTCACGTAGATATCGAGGAGAAAACTCAAATTTTCAACTAAAGCTAATTTGCATAACAATGTTTTTACCTTTGGTCGCCATATTGGACAGGCATACAATTATTTATTTAAGTATATGACCTTGGTAGTACTTATTAAGTACACATTCAAAGTCATTGTAAGCAATGACAGGAAGTTTTAATTGATACCATCTGTTTTAATAGAGCAAGTAATCAGATGCTAGGCAGACTCCAGTGGAGTAGAGCTTTGAGTGCCGATCACAATGTCAAAAATAACAATGAATAAACTACAACAGTTCAGTTTAGACATGGCCATACATGGACACAGTATTTTATTAACGGGACAAGCTGGAACTGGCAAGACTAAAACTCTAATTGAACTAATCAGGAATTTGAGGAAGATCAAAAGAGTTCAAGTTACAGCTAGCACAGGCATGGCTGCAAGTCAGTCGAGCGCCTGTGGTTTGGGTCGGACGATTTCTTTTGTTTCCAATTCGCTGTACGCCTAGAAACATGGAAACGTTGTTTTTGGTGAATATATAACATGTTCTGTTCCAATAAAGACTTTTGATATGCATAACAATTCTTTAATGGAACATTTCCTGTACTCTATAAAATTTAACAATGCCACTAGCCCAAGATAGACTTCCTGTTCAACACGTTGTTGAATGTTCGCGTCACTGTACGTAAAAACACACTCTCGAACTTGACAATTTTAAAGTTCAGACCATTAAGCAAATAGATGGAAATACCAGTTGCATAAATCATGAAGATTGATGATTCCATTGGTGACCGAGATAGCTGCATTTAGTGTTCTTTTCCATGCAATATAAAATCATATCGATGCTGTGGGTGGTAAAGGGTGACAGATTGTTTTGGTTCAACGGCTCTCAAGGCACGGGCAACTGACATTTCCTGACTTTTTTTTACTATTCTGATGTGTTCTGGGCTGTATATAACAGTCAGACACTGACAAGTAAGTAAGTACTAGTAAACAGTCCGGGACATAGTCAATACATGCCGGTAGGCTGGTTGACGATCCGCTCCACTCAAAAAACAAGCAACATGTTTTTGGCTGTTTCCATGGTAGGACATGAACGTGAAGCTAACGTCAGTTTATAACTAAATGGGCCCTGTATACGAATTCGCTAAAACCACTCAGTCTTTAGAAGTTACTTAGTTTATTACTAGGACGTATTCTGCTGTTACATTTCCAACCATTTTGTGATAGCATTTTCTAGAATGAAGGCAGCATGTTCATTCAAAGTTGCGTTGGGATTATGTTGATATAGTGTAACAACGTCTGCATCGGTGATCACTTACCAGTGCGCAACATAGCCAAAATAAAAAGCATGATCATCTGAGCCAAAATAAAAAGCATGATCATCTGAACACTGCTATTACAAAACTGGTAGGAGGTAATACATTTGGGGCGAAAGTATTCAAAAATCAGTTTTTGGCTATTGCAATGGCAGTGGTGCGCCATGCAGGATTTTTTTTCAATTAGTGACGGCACGACCTACCTGTGAAGTATGAACAAAATCAGCCGAGCCAAAACAAAATCTCAGAGGAGTTAAAAGCCGTTGCTGATAAAAAGTTACCCCAACTTTGGGGTCAAATTTCTCGGTAATGAAAAAAGATATCAAAAATTCAAATACATGTAGTAACTTCGTGCCCACACTCAAGCTGAGTAGAATGGGCTATGTCTGAGGTGTTTTATTCCAAATTTGTAGGAGGAGATACATTTGTCACGAAGCTATCCAAAAAAAAAAACAGTTTTTTGGCTGTTGCTATTGCAACAGTGGGCCAATTTTTTTTCAGATTTTTCCTAATAACTTGGGTGAAACACTTGAAATCACACACACGGACACACACACACACACACAAAATGTCAAAAGTGATTATAAGGGCAATCCTAGCGGAGCGGATCGCCAATAATTAATATTTCATTTTTGTTAGTGTATCTTTAATTTTATTTATTAAAATATGTACACATTATATCTAATTGGGGTGGAAATTGCCAAGCCAATTTATAAAATTATAAACAAATATTGTCGTAAATAACACTGACCGTGAAATACGCCCTTGAGAATTGTTACTGACGGAATATTTTATATTGCAATTTCGTTCAATTTAATTAGTTGTATTGCAATGCAATGCATTAGTAATGATGTAAATATATATATATATATACATTTCGTTATTTCATTGATGAGACTGAGTTATATATTTGTTACATACTATAATTTAACTATATTGGAAAACGGTTATGGGGATTATTAATTTTAATAAACAATATTCAACTATCCTTTGCAATAAGATCATAATGATAATTTTTCTTGGTTTTTGAAACTATGGGCATTATCAGAGCATGGGTCTTATTTTGGAACTCCTGCCAGAGCAACATCACAAATCATAAGGACAAATTAATAGCTTCCGAGAATGGTATTCCCAGAATAGCGCAAGAAACATAAAACTTTAATTCTCAACAACGATGAAACGACCAGTTACTGCGATAAAGCCCTACTCCCCGCGAGACCCACCCAATACGAAACCCACTTACCGCGAAAGCCACTTACCGCGAAGCTACTAGTGATCTACACAAAATCTTTCACTTCGTTGTGAAATATTGTGACCTTCCGATGAGTCATTATGATTCACATGACACGTGTTCACGAACGAACACACGTGATCAATTCGAAACAACACGGCGAACTAGAAGCGTAATTTCTGACCTACATTACGATAGTGGCGTCAGTCACGGGATTTACATGTGACATTGAAAGGTACGATAAGTTCAATACAAGGTCATTTCGCTGACGATTGTTACCAGTTGTGCTCATGTCGCTGCTAGCGCATGATTCCCAATTTTGGAATAGCGAATTATTCGAACGAATCCGTGCAGAAGACGTTTGAAAACGACGGATAGAGGTCACTGGACCAAGACGGGTATAAGTTGACTGTTTGTTTCTGAAAAGTGGCTGTACAGAATGCAATTCCACGCCTTTGCCTTCAAGATTGCTCTCCTGTTGTCAAGTTTAGCTGTCAACGCACAACTAATTCAGTCGGATCGGTTGCAGCCGATGAAAGGAGATGACATGAGAATATACGAAGAAGAGTTGAACATTTTAAGAATACATAACAATGAAATACTATTTAATAGAGTTCACGAGACGGCGCTACAGCATTTAGACGATATCACGCAATTAGAAGACGTTCACGATACCTATGAATTCACACCTTTCACGCAGCAGTCCTATGAAAACGCAAGTCTGGCGTGCATCAATGACACCATTCACTACGTTAAAGACATTCTGCGTGGCGAGAGTTATGCCATGCGCAGTAAGTATCGGGCTATTTCTTTTCATTTCGGCCGACTCGCAAGAGTTCACGAGAAGCTCATCGAGCATGTTTACACACGACATGTGACCAATTTAATGTCAATATAACGCAAGAAGTTTAAATTTTAGCACAGACGTCGATAATGTTTATTATTTCTCGATTGCAGTATATTAATAATGCAACAACAGTGGTAATAATGTTCGAACTATTTATAATTTCAACAAAGAAATATATTATGTAACGTCAATTCAAAGCTCCACAGTCGATGCAAGCCATTTTCGAATTGAGTGCCATGTGACGCTAAACATGAAATTCGAATGTCCAGGGCGACGAATGTGACTATTTAAACTTAACCTTTTGAACATGTTCACTCAAAATTGATCACCAACAGTGTTTGATTCGATCGGAAAGCCGCCAGCGGGCATCTTAGAAGGCAATTACATGTGGGTCGGCTCTTCGGTGGAATGTCGACGAGTGGTAGATGTCCAAACATACAATTCTTCGTTCAGTGGAAAGTATTGTATTGCTGCCTTTCCTATGAGCTCAGAGTTGGTTCTGCAAGTGAGTATGACAGATAGCATAAAGTTATACATTTTTTTTAGGAAATAAACACTTTCGAATTTTGTCCGAATCTAACTGGGTTTGATCACAACCTAGGATTCTGATTGAGGATAAGCCAGCCAATGAGATCGATTTAATTTCCACCAATTGACAAGCTCGTTAAATCATAATGACCAATCAGGTCATTTCTCTTTTGGCCAATCAAGTACAAGACCATACCAATTTTAACCAGCCACGTTACACGGCCAAGATGTACTCGTAAGTAGGAGACGGTGCGTCTCATCAGAAGTGCTATTAATAAAGTCATCAATTGAAGTTCATACGTTGTATCATTCCACAATTCTTGAACCTCTTTTTTAACAATTCCCACAAATTATAATGATTCTCATCCAAATACCAATCGATTGAACGTATAAATAATTGTCATCGTTTGCAGCCTCAAGTGGAACTTGGCCTATGCCTGCCAGATAGCTGTGATAATACAGATGTGCTGGTATTGATCAACGCAGGTACGATATCAATGGTGGTATTACTAGAATTCAGAATAGGCTATCGTTCTAGATGCTGTTAGTATATTGTTGACCTCATTAAAAAACTTGTTTTTTGTGTGTAGGACTTGGATTAGTTCCAGTCCAGGGTCTGCGAGCATCGTCTGTTATTTGTATCGAGGAGTCGTCGTTATCGACAGGAGCCATCGTCATGATGTGAGTTTATTATATTCGTTGTTTTGAGTTTTAAGATTATATTGTTAAAGTCGATGTGTGTATTTAAACTATTTACCTGACAAATTGTTAGAAATCTTTTCTATGGTATGTGATCTGACGTGCATGTGATTGATTCGCACATCAATTAGTACTCTGTGATCTGACATGCAAGTTATTATCAAGTGGTTCTCTGTGATTTGGGATTATATTTATTGGTATTCAGCAAACCGTTAAACGCAAACACAGTACACCCAACATATTGCCATGTGTCTGTGTCGTGTGTTCATTTCGAAGAGTCGTCATTGGAGTATTGCTGTATCTAATGGCAGTTGGTACCGGATATGACGTATATGTGAAATACCTACAGAGAGACAGCGGCACTCAATTGCCCGTTTTTACAAGAAGCAATATTCAAAACGATGTGAGAGACCACGCAGAAGTATCCCCTCTTTTGAAACCCGAGGATGATCAAGATGTAGAAGAAGATGTATCTGCTCTACTGAAACCTGTGCCGGAAGAAAACGAACATTATGAAGACACCCACTCAGTAATACACGATGAACAAAGAGCTAAGACATTGTCACCACGTCCAGGTAAACACAAGTTTACGTTGAATGGCTAGAAATAACGCAACACCACGGATTCAAGTATCAAAAATCTTCCATTATTTCATATATCCTAATTAAATGTTTTGATAGTAAATTAAGTGCAGTTCCTCGAAACATAATATGTAGCACTTGAGAGTACTGATACCGGTCAGATGGTTGTGAGACAATTCATATGCCGACGGATGACACCAAAGTCCTGAAAAACCGTGGAAAAAATGTTTTCCTGTTTCTGGAATATGTATTAATTTCGCACATTTTGGTTTCAACACATTTATTCTATGAATTGTTTTTTCAAAACGCAAAACAGAAAAAGAAAAGATAGTGGAGATTTGACATATCATTTTGCGCAATGCATCTTACAGTGTTAGACAATTTGTTTACTCTGTGATGACATCATTAGGTACAACGCAATGCATTGTGGATAGCATCACATTGTTGTCCCTCAAGTAATATCGTTTTTGTCTGTGATGTCACTTCCGTCGCAATGGACTCACAAATATGACATATTTACAACATTTCAAATTTGATACAGGAACTTTGGTCCAATGTATACTTGCGTTCTCTGTGCTGGAGAACGGTGGGAAGATATTAGACACCACGCATGCGTCAGGTACTTTGGCCGCTATCCATGGCGTCCGCGTGCTTAGTATGTGGTGGGTCATCTTGGGTCATAGCTATAGTTCGCTTTTTGGGTTTTCTGGTAAGTTTATTATTGTTATGAGTTATACAAATTATAGATAACTATTATCATCATTGCATCCGGTTGAATATGTACAATTGACATAATATTGAATAATTTGTGTAGGTACATTATTCGAATTATATTAATACACATCAACACTTTATATGTTCTTGCGGCCCAACTACTTTATTTTAAATGTGTAACAGAGTATCGATGTAATTGCAGATAACATATCCGTCTTACCGGAAGTATTAAAAAGGTTTACTTTCCAAGCAATCTCGAATGCAACATTTTCCGTTGATACGTTCTTTTTCTTAAGGTAGGTGCTATTAATAAATACTTATTGTATTGCACGGCTGTTCTAAATTATATACATCGACTGTTTCATTTTCACTTAACTTTTATTTGAAGTGGACTCTTGGTGACGTACCTAACGATGCGGGAATTAATATCAGGAAGAAAAGTGAATTGGTTTTTATTTTATTTCCACCGTTTCTGGAGGTGAGTAGTTACCGCTCAATGGAACCCTGGACGCAAATAGCCGCCTAGACCTCTTTGGCAGCGATACAGCTACGAGACTTGTTATCTCCTGAAATAATGCCCCATACTTTCTCGTCAGCACTCCCGCTTTCAATGTGACTTCGGCGGCCAACTGAGGTCTCTTCATGATTTATATAGTCTAACCATATTCAAATTTTCTCTATTTAACAAATGTGTCAGTTCACTCATTGTTCAATACCTCAAACAATATTTCTGTATTTCTATACATTGTTTCCAGATTAACCCCAGTCTATATGTTCATAATATTTTTCTCGACGTACTTATTACCATATATTGGCGATGGTCCATATCAAGCTATGAACTCCGTAATCGAAGACCCGTGTAAAACGAATTGGTGGACTAATCTGTTGTACATTAATAACCTCGTACCATGGCCTGGGATGGAACAGGTATTTAAAAAAGTGACATTTTCCCTCGTCTCAGTCACTTCTCATAGTCATTAGCCCAGCGGTAAACTCGGGTAACATAACGCAGTATTCTCCTTAATATACAAAGACCGGGATAACTTAGGATGGGTTTTATATGTGACATTTATTAATATTATTGTTTTTCTGTATAATATAGTGTTACGGCGTGGCATGGTATCTCGCAAATGATATGCAATTTCACGTGGTTTCTCCTATAATAATAATCTTGCTTGTAAGGTACGTGAATCTTGTGAGCCTTGAACTTAGACGCTGAAACAAATCTCGTGACTTTCTCGCTCTTAGCGAGATCTAGGTCAATTGCGCCTAAGGTCTACTGAAATGCAAGCACAATGTCTTAAACTTGTTTTTCTCGACATACGTGTATACATTATAACTTCTCTCTGTTGTTTCAAAATATATTAAAGGTGGCGCTATTCGGGATTTGGACTACTTACAGTATTGATGGGATCAACGCTTGCCGCAAGAGTTGCAACGGGAGTTCATTACGACCTCACCTCATCAATGAATTCTGTGTAAGTCAGTGCATTTCCCAATTGACGAAATACATCTTTACACTTCACAGTAACGTTGTAATAGTATAATGATTGATACAGCGGTTGAAGTTGTCATTAATAATAGGTAACATACAATGCATGACGAGCGAACGCATCTGAGTAGCTCAAGTTATCGAAAAGTGTTTAGGTAACCATAGAATGTCGAAGCGCGTAATTAGTTCACACATGGGTTGAATGGGATAGCGTTTGAGCATTTAATTATATATAATTTTTATATGTAACAATTGTGGTATTCTTTTTATTATTAATATCTAGTGGTATTCCAAAATGCATTTGTTTTGTTCATGAATAATCCGATTCGTACTATTACATATATTTTTTATATACACATTGTTATTTATAAATAATCTTACTTTCATTACTTAAATGTTACTTATTTAATTATATACGCTATATAAATAAATGCACAAACAACACCCCATTGAATGGAGCAGGATTTAAGATGCACGCCTCAGTTTGCATGATTTGTGAAAAAAATGAAGCCGCCCATGGACAGTAAATACACACTTAGGCTATTTAGATGTTTTCCACATTCTTTCCTATATATAATATACCCGTCACTGACCCGTGATTTAAGAGCTCGTTTCACGATATGAATATCAATGGTAGAACATGTGCAAACCTGTAAAACTCTTTGGCAGAACATGTACATTTGAAGATTTTGCAGATCGCGATACATGAACATCTTGGGTACTGGGCATACTGACCACGTATGTCATTACTCCCTCCCATGCCTTATTGAATGACTCCTCACTAATGGCTTTAGCAGTGCTTCCTAAAATATATGTATACATGAGAACAATGCAAGTTGTGTGTAAGGTGTTGGAGAATACACATTTTCAGACGCTTGAATTTAAGCTGTTTTGGTCTGATCGTTTGATCTGAAGCTAATTTTATCGCTTAAATTCGGGCATCTAACTTGGTCGTTTTAAAAAATGACAAGCTGACACGTTCAAATCTCGGCATCGTTTGACACAACATGTTTCATGCCAATTTAAACATAATGCGGGAATTATTTGCATATATTATATGTACACAAATACAATGTCGTATAATAATTTTATACTACAGACTGGACCCCAATATTACTGGTGGAACATATTTTCTGATGTCGCCATACATGTATACTAAACCATGGACACGTATCGGCACATACCTCACAGGTATGGCTGTAGGGTATGCTTTAGTCAAGACGGAGTGCAACTTTAAAATACCCAGGGTAAGAAAAAACAGTAAATATTTAACTAGGACCATGGAGGTAAAATCTATTTTACCTCCACGCTAGGACATACTATTATGGAATTCGAATACACTGCGGATCAATAGATGATTGGTCAGCATAGTATTTGAACTCATGCAAAATGTATTTATATTGTGGATCATGCTATTGGTAGAAAGACAACAGCGATTAGAGACATACGTTATCTACACATAAATCCATTTGGTGAGTTATACAGTCACTGAGCAAACATACGAATGATTTATGAGGGGTATAGGTTTGTACCAACAGTAAACAGTATACAAAGTTATCCAAATAAATTCTATATTCTATGTTGCAGCCTTTTTCCTGTCACAATGTTTGACCTAACTTTGATGTGTGGCCTGATAATGTTTGCAACTTATGTTTATTTATTTTTTACCTTTCCCGTATCATCAGAGATGAAAAGAAAAGATATATTAAGGGACCAGTGACCTTTGAATGTGTTTCACCCCAGTTGAAGACTGAATTCATGAAAACCATACCTCCTCTGCAAATATATTTGCTATACCTGAATTAATACATTTTTTTCTTCAAAAAGTATACCAAAATATCATTCACACTGTAGTCCAGACCTGTTGATTTCTTTTAAGGAAGAAACATAAAAATATAGTCTGCTATCGATTTTTGCCTTGGATTAACCGTCCTTCCCTCAAAGAGTTATTCAGCCTTCAATATGAGCCATAAATTATACCCTCTTGCATGCATATATGCTGCCCTCAATATGTGCCTGAATTATACCCCTCACACAGAGATATGCTAATTTCATGTCTCTAATATGTGTTGTTATACTACTTTCAATATGATTTATTATCCCCCAACAGATTGTAGTACTGTTTTACCACTGCTGTTATCCTAATCCTAATACTTGTCGGTATTAAAAAATAATTATGTCAATGCATATTCATATTGAAACAAACAATGATAAAAGAAATACTATTATATAACAAACGACAATGTCACCAGAGTTAAACTATGTTTTTAAATCTAGGCTGTTAATCTCATCTGTTGGATGGCGGCTTGGGTAGTAGCCCTGTCTGTATTGTATGGTTTATATGGTACATTTCACGGCGTTGAGCTGTCAAGGGGAGTTGATATATTATATTTGACTATATGCAGAGTAGCATGGTCAATTGCTATTGGGTGGCTGACGTTTGCTTGCCTTACTGGTAACGGAGGTAAGTAGAAAATACCACACAACGCTTTTAGTAATCTCCAAACAAGCGCTAGTCATGTTTGTTTAATCACTATGTATATTACTAATTTATTATAATACTAGTAACATATATAAGGTTACTATCACTATATTTGCCATGGTAACTAGGATTACAATGTTCCCATATTACTAAAAGCATGCCTGACATTTACAGGTCCGATAAACGCCGTATTGTCATGGAAAGCTTGGATTCCAATAAGCAGATTAACGTATTGTGCGTACCTCATACACCCAATGGTGCAAGAGACCTATGTTTTGCACAGAGATAGGCTCCTACATATAACAGATCTGAACCAGGTAATCACGTACCATTCATAACGCTTATTCGTTGTCCGACTCGATCGGAACCCGACTTATTTATATTCTCGCTAATTCCTTCTAAATACAATGAAATCTAGAAAACCATAATTACAGACCCTACTGCACTTCAATGAAAAGCATGCCACATGTGTGCTACGTGATACATTGAGCTGTAATTATTTCTATTATATTTTCTTATCAGATCTACATATATATTGCGGGTTTGGTGATTTCATACTGTTTGGCATTTGTTGTATCTCTGATGGCAGAAGCGCCCATGATGAGGCTGGAAAAGATACTGTTACGAAAAGACAAGAGCATATAATAGGAGTTGTATCAAACTATGCGTCGTATTCATTCCATTAACAAATTATTTATAAAGCAAATGTGGAAAATTGCTGAGAATGAATCGGTAAATCCAAGTACTATATGATGTTCGATGATTTTGCATTACTGTTATATTTATTCCGCAAATTAAAATAAAAGACTGTCTTTTTTCCATATTCTTACTGCGTTTATTGCTGTTACCAATTATGTAAAGGATTAACTACCAAATTGTTTTATTAAATAAACCAACATAAATAAATATTAATATATGTGTTTAATGGTAAAATACCGTTATGATCATGTAGACTATTGCTCAGCCATGGCATGGACATTGTGGATAACTAGGTATCTAAGGCAATATGCTCCATATAAATGTCGTATTTTTAAAAACGGGTTTATTCCTTCTCTGTAACCAATCAGTGACGGCCTTATATGACAATTTCGGTTTCAAATACCCCGGGAAAGTTCTCTATGTTATTCGTGTAATTATGTATTCGTATGCAAGGTATTTTTCCACACAACAACGATTGGTTAATTTTACTCCCAACGTATCGTTTGGCTGTGAAAGACCGGATTGATATTTTTTCTGTTTTGTAGGAATCTGAAAAACGCGTTTCACAACTTGTCTTTTTATTTAGTTTCATACTTTATTGAAGATGGCGGTCCAGTATAATAGTAAACATCGCATTTATTTTATTATCACTGGTTTCAGTGGCGGTTTCGCCGTACATGTTGCTTCATATAACTTCGCAATGGGCGTCTTTTGTAGTCAGTGATATTCACAAAAATATTTGTTCACAATTCTATAGACCTTCTATGACTAACTGGTTTAGCAATTAATTCCCACCACCATTTTTAGTAAATTCAAAATCACTCATAATTCTGCTTTCTTTACTATGTTTGCGCTTAAACTTTTGACGATTTTAATGGGTGTATATATTTCAGTGCACACATGTACACTTACAAAAATACCTATCACATATTAGTAGGAAAATTTATTATATAACCAGGACAGTAAAAAAAAAAAACATTTTTTTTTTCCATTATCATAGTTACGCATTTTTTCTGCCTGTGACTTTATGCAGCAATCGTAATAAATGAGATTTAAAGTTCTCAACTGGCTGATTTTTCAATAATAGCTACAATAAACGACGTGCTGAACAGAAAGTCAAATTGAGGAGAGTCAAGGACTAATTATACGAAAGACGTTTCAATGAGGAAATATTAAATTTATCGATTTCATATGAAAATCATTTTTTGGAGAAGATAAAACAAAGTTGTTATGTATCTAGACAAGCAACGAACTCGAAACAAATGAAAACATCTGATCCAAACAACCTGCGTCCTTGGAAATCGGGTCTTATCGTTATGCGCAGTGACGTCATTCATCTGATATACCATGTAACATCCAAATGGCGAGCTATATATCATGTAATATTCATTATTATTCAATGTCATGTGACTGAGTCTAAACCAATTACAGCATGCGTAACAATAGTGAGATGTGATAATATTCCATAAATAACCTCGATATTATTATAGCAAACGTACAAAGTTATATTATATGAATATTAATACATACCCTAGCTTTTGCAAGATTCAGTTCATACCGTGGGAGCAAACATTGTTCAGCTTTCATCCTGAATTCTTATTTTTTATTAAATACTTCACAGGCAAGGTTGTAATAGTTACGATATGTTTCAAATTGCTGTCATAATACTAGTTAACATTTTTGCAATGTGTTTGCAGTAGAAACTCCGATCAAGATGTTTTGTTTTTACTTTTTTGACGTGTAATTGAAAATATCAAATATTAGTACACTCGTATAAAATGAAGTTGAAAGGCGATTTCACGTGTCGTGATCACATACACCTGTGCTAGATGCAAAATCATTACAGAACGAAATGCAATCATAGACACATACAACATAGTGTTTTCGTCGTATACACATTCTAATTACGTAGGTAAATTAAACCCCGCAATGACTGACGATAAACTAATCAGTTTTATTTTCAAACAATAGTGTTTTAATAAGTCCTCAATGTTGCAATGAAAAATAATGCATTTAGAATAGCATTTAATATAGGAGCGAGGCACGTCGATACATGGAATATTAAAGTAAAATTAGCGGATTCAAAAAGTTTGGGTAACAAGCAAAGGTTTAAACAGTTAATTTTCCTTCTTGTCGAAATACCAATACTTGCATTCGGCTATACGTCTAATCACGGAGTTGTGTGGCAATAAAACTGACATTTTTTAAAGTTATTCGTATTTTGATAAAATCGCTATTTTTCATAAAAGCCGCCATATTGAAAAATAAGATTATCGAGTCCATGGAAGTCAATTACACCTCTACGCATACAACTACTGCATCACTACTCGACGTATATTATTATACACGTTTTAATAGTACGACAATTTATACCAGAGTTGAATGGTTTCAAAATTACATGTGCAGAATTGCTGTATAATTAAAAATTCTCTTTTGCGAGTTTTGGGTTAATAGATAAAAAAAAAAAAACAATTGACACGTGCACTAATGTGGTAAACACGTTTGGGGAAGTGTTAGGAATTTAACAGCAAAGTCCAGCATTATAATACTATGAACAAACAAAGAAGTCATTCACTACTGAACCTCCGATCAATGCACTTTTTGGAGTTCGTGCGCAAATGAACAGTGACTACCCATTTATATTCTGCTACTTCTCTATTATAAACGTATAATGCGAATATTGTTTTTGATGTGGAATATCTGTGAACCGTATTCTCCCACTAATGTATGTGTAAAGAACGGTTTTGGTTGGTTCAGTAATTTATTGGGGTGTAGGGAGCTCCATGTGTGTAGCTGGTGGCTGACGTATAATGCGAATATTTTGTTGATGTGGAATATCTGTGAACCGTATTCTCCCACTAATGTATGTGTAAAGAACGGTTTTGGTTTGTTCAGTAATTTATTGGGGGTGTATGGAACTCCATGTGTGTAGCTGGTGGCTGCCTTGGAAGCGAATGACTTGTTTGTCTGTTCATGGTATTATAATGCTGGACATTGTCTTTAAAGCGGGATGGTCGTCACCTGCGCACGCATGGGAATTGAGTCTTGAGCGATGATAACAACACACGCTAAAAACGCAAAGGCTAATGGGTAGACGCTTGTAAACAACGACACGCTATAGCCATCTGACGCATGCGCAGATGACGACCCCCCCCCCCGTTTTAATTAACTTTCGCAAAGAATCATTGAAGCACTGGACACCTTTGCGACAGTTTCTTCCGACAAAGCTTCATGGTCTTACACGTCATTTTCATATTCATTAGTATTAAAAGACAACTATTGTGATGCCGAACTGATATTCGTTAACCTTCACAGATTATTATTTGGAATGTGGTCTGTGTCGGTTGTTCTAGTTCGATTTCCACTGTTTATTAATCGAACCTTAGAACAAAATTGAAATGCTAGAGACTGGTATACCTGCCCAGCCCCGTGTCAGGTATTTGTTTTTAAACACTAACTGAGTAAATAAGTCCATATATGTAGATTCTTTGTACCACAGTCCCTGATAGTGATGTTGAACCATGGAACTATGATTTATAGTTTCATGGTTGAACCGAGGTTGAACTCCGTCCGATTCAAGATATTACACATACTACAGTTTGCTAGTCCAATGACATCATCCTGAGTCAACAGCCGTATCTAAAAGTTGGCATATTAATACCTTATATGAGCCCAAATGTTTCGACGCAGTCGGCGCTCACCTGAATCGTTCTTCTACGGTCGACCTTTTTGATTTCAAATGAACCGTCAGTCAGACTCCCTAGCACATGAAGTTTGGGGAGGTGAAGTGGTCATGTGAGAATGAGTCACGTGGGAAAGTTCACACTGGTACAAAAGCTGTGCTTCGATCGGCGTACGCTGCTTAGTGTGGGGAATAGATCATTCGACGGCGTCACGGCACTGTTGACGGCAAACATGATGTATACAAAATCGGAGTATCGTCGTCGAAGCGGACTCGATTTCATGGCAGTAACGGTTATAGCCGCGACGCTTTGTTGCTGTTTGCCAGTCGAGGTCAACGCGCAAGTTTTAATGCCGGGCCAGCAACCGGGAAAGTGGACCGAAATGTGGGTATCGGGCGATCAATTGCGAATCATCGGTCAAACGAATCAGGAATTCCTGCAAAACGCCATTCACAAAGCTGCTCTGCAAAATCTCGGGAAAATGACCTTGGCAGAACCTGACAAGGACATCCCCATAATTCCGTTAAACCCCTCAGACGTCAGTATCCGATGTGTAAACGACACAATTCAGTATGTCGAAGATATCGTAAGTGGATCAAGTTACGCGATTAAAAGTGAGTTTGCAAAGTTACAATACGGGAGTCGACAGTGACATGTTTCTGTCACCACTCGCTGAACTTAAACCAAGCGCATGCGCAGTTAGCCTTAGAAGTACACACTATATATAGCAGTACACAGTATATTTCGTAAAGTGTCATATAATTATTCATTGTGTACAGAAGTTTAATATTGTGACACATTCACTCCGTAATCGAGTGAAGGTCAAATCCCGGGTTGAAGAATCTAAGCCCCTGCTATCCCAAGTTGCTATGAAAATGAGAGGTTTTAATATATAGCCGTTGGTGGTGTTTGTCATAACTGTCGTACGTACAAGCTCAGCATAACTATTCACGCTACGTTAACTTTGGTTCTGGAACAGTTAGTTAAGTCATGGAGCTAAAATAATTTTAGCTCCATGGTTAAGTGCTATTGCATTTTCCCGTCACGCTAATGGCTGTGTTTTATCCAAATGGCACAACATACACTGCACATATAATTGTGTTACAATTCGTGTTGTATTTCCCGAAAGCGACCAACATTAGGTTCAACTCCGACTCTCGCATTTATTTCAGTGTTTGACTCGAACGGCAAACTTCCGCCAGGTGTCTTGGAAGGGAATATTCTGTGGATCGGGGCGCCAGAGGAGTGTCGCAAGGTGAAAGACGTACAGACAGCTGAGTCAACATTTAATGGCAAATACTGCTTGGCTTCATTTCCTGTTTCAGTAAGTATTAAACACAGTATGTATCAGGTGACATTTACGCAGTGCCCATCATGTTGAAACAGTATGCAACAAAATGCAGTGTATCGCATGGGACCCATGTAGCACCCGGCGCGATGCGACGACAGTGACCCGTTAAAATAACAATGTAAATGAGATTGCTACACGTTTGGTGTGCACCTCCGGGATGATGGCATCGTATTTTTCCACGACTGCCGCATAGTTAGAAATTTGCGACGTACTGTATTAACTTATTTCACACATTGTTCGTATGCGTATTTTCGCAGAAATTGGGGGCTATAAGCATCGGTTTGTGCTTTCCAGATACCTGTAGCACGAAGGACGTACTCATGATATTGAAAACAGGTACTTGAATCATCACTACCAATCTAAATTGACAAGTCATTGTATTTTATTGTTCGTCTATCTGTAACTACCGTGTGTGGTATTGGTGTGCTTGCTTCTAGGTACGAAATTGGTCCCCATTCCGAAACTACAGCCATCCGGTTTATTTTGTACGGAGGAGCACTCCTTATCTACGGGTTCTATAGTAATGTTGTAAGTGGCTGTGTAAACCGTAAAAAAATATGCTGTTTCTACCTTTTTAAAGGATACCGACAATTATTTACTATTGTCGCATTTCATTCTTACCCGTAGAGTCGTTATCGGGGTGCTACTGACCTTTATGATTATTGGAACAGTATACGACTTCGTCGTTACGCAAATCAATAAGAATCGAGCTCCAAGCAAATTTGATGTACCGGTAAACGTCCAGTCAGGGTTCGGTGGTGATCCGGAAGAGGTGGAATCTCTGTTAAATTCGACCTCAGACAACAATGTCAAGAAATTTGCATACCAGCCAGGTATGTTGGTATTCTTTCTAGATCCGCGAGAAATATTATAAATCACTTCTATCAGAATTGTTGTGGAGCCATAGTCATAGTCACATTATCACACGACAATGCAAACATCTATTCGAAAGAAAATTCATTTCAACAAAAAGGCCTAAATTTAATTAATTTTGAGTAATTTTGATGGTGGTGATTCAAAAATGAATTCTCCACAGCATCGTATTAGATTCAGAGAAAGGTCTCGGCGTTATAATGTGTTCGCCTTCGTCTCACACATTTACTTGCCATAGACCATTTCATCCTAGTAGTACTAGTCGTAGGAAATACTTAGTTGCATCTACTTGTGTATATCTATTCATGTTCACCGAAATACCTAATTATGTATATATATATATATATATATATATATATATATATATATATATATATATATATATATATATATATATATATATATATATATATATATATATTTCATTACAGGTATTCCTGGCCAGTGTATTCTTGCGTTTTCTGTATTGGAGAATGGGCGGAAGATATTAGACACCACGCATGCGTCAGGTACTTTGGCCGCGGTCCACGGTATACGCGTGCTTAGTATGTGGTGGGTTATATTAGGTCATAGTTATAGCACTCCAGTCAATATGGCGGGTACGTACATTTGTAGTATATATACAGCAAATTGAGGGAAGATGAACATAAAAAAAACATTAGATATGCGTTCACTCATTCAATTCTACCAAGGAATTGAACAGACCCTATATTATGATTCGTTATACCTAAGTTTTTGTCGATATTTACTACAGTTTCCGCACGCCAGAGTGTTCAATACATAGAATATACAAAATATGCCCTTGTCTGTTGTTATATCGCAGGTACTCAAATGCCATGTTGTAACACTTTATTGTTTCTGCCATATACGTATTGATTACAGACAATAGTGCCGTGATAGGGGACATTATGAAGAGGTTTACTTTTCAAGCTATCAGTAATGCCACATTCTCCGTGGATACATTTTTCTTCTTAAGGTACGTTTAATCGCCATCATACACGGCACGTATTACACTCACTTTTAATCTCAACGTCCGAAATCTAGTACCCGGGTTTCGTACATTCGATATAGCCGACTTTGGTTGGCAAAGTTGTTCTTCTCCGTGTGTGGGGATGACTCAACCTGTCAATAACTCAACTCGTTCAATGTGTTTGTTTGCTCACGCAGTGGTCTACTTGTGACGTATCTCACTTTACGTGAGCTAAAAGAAGGTCGTAAAATCAACTGGTTTCTCTTTTACTTTCATAGATTTTGGAGGTAAGTATACATATACATGAATTAGTTAGTAAGTAAGTTAGTAAGTAAATTATTTAAATAATCCAGCATACAACCAATGCAATTTATTTATTATAATTTAAAGCAGGGAGTCTTCGCCTGCGCATACGTCAGATGGCCATAGCGTGTCATTGTTTACAAACACGCGTCAACCCATGGGCCTTTGCGTTCTTAGTGTGTGTTGTTATCATCGCTTGGGACTCAATTCTCGCGCGTGCGCAGGTGACGACCCTTCCGCTTTGTGTTCTATTAGAAATGCAGTTTATCAGATTCAAGAAAGTATGAATAAGTCAAGGACTGCAGGAATCTTTCTTACACTTGTTTTGCGAAGTCTTTTGAAGTGTATCTGCATATATTTGTAACGTTTGCTTAATTACAGACTGACTCCTCTCTACATGTTCGTAGTTTTCTTCAACACTTATCTATTTGTATATCTGGGTGATGGCCCCATGGCCGAAGGTTATCGCACTAGTTTACAAAATCCTTGTGAGCAGTATTGGTGGACTAATTTGCTGTATATAAACAACATTGTACCATGGCCTGCTGCTCTTGCTGACCAGGTAGGTAATTCATCGAACAAACATTTTCATCGGACAACTTTTGTACAGTAGAACATGAAAGTTCAAAGGTCATGGTATATTTACGTCGACTGTGTCCTGTATCTAAACACAATCGACACGTTTGTCCAAACCATAATCATAACCAGCCGGAAGTTTTGACCAGCTGCAGCAGCCGACCAGTCCTGCATAACTGTTATAACATAACACGACTGTTTTTGTATTCACAGTGTTACGGAGTCGCTTGGTACCTGGCTAATGATATGCAATTCCACGTCATCAGTCCATTTATCATAGTTTTACTCTATAGGTATGTATCACCCCAAATTCCAGATTTGCAAGTCTAAACCTATGTGTGGTAAATCAAAGGCTTTGGAGAAGCAGGGATATGAAAGGCGGACAAATTGCAAAAAAAAAGAAATCAGGATATGTGTTCTACCATCTAGATTGTAATCTATGTTGGCACAGTTCTATAATCCAATCGTATACCTTGATGTTGACATATGTTGTAGAGCAATAGTCTCAAAATAGTAATTATCTGTCTCAAGATGTCATTGCCGGTGTTGTGGGCATAACAAATTACTAAGTACAAGAGAGTCTTCTCGAAATGCAAGGCGTTTAAACATTGGCCATTTTCGTTGACTTGCAATTTTCAATAGAACAGAAAGAAAGTCTCTCGCATTTCATGATCACTGACACTAAATGGTACTGAACAAGGTTTTACAATCAACATAATCAAGGGAAATTACCTTATTTGAGGTATATGAACAAATTCACAAAATTTCATTGTGTGATGTGTGGCACTTACGTATATTTGTGTGAATAATGCCGTTTATAGGATTACTGTGTGATTACTGTATGGCGTTTAAAAGATTTCATTTAGTATGGTTTTACAAGATTTCTTTATGTAAAGTATGGTGTTCACAATATGCTTTTGTGTAAAGTATAGCGTTTACAATATTCCTTTGTTAAAAGAGTGGCGTTTACAAGATTTCATTTGTTTAAAATATGGTGTTTACAAGATTCCTTTGTGTAAAGTATAGCGTTTACAAGATTCCTTTGTTAAAAGAGTGGCATTTACAAGATTCCATTTGTTTAAAGCATGGTGTTTACAAGATCATTTTCTGTAAAGTATGGCGTTTACAAGATTCCTTTGTTAAAAAAGTGGCGTTTACAAGATTCCATTTGTTTAAAGTATGGCGTTTACAAGATTCCATTTGTTTAAAGTATGGCGTTTACAAGTTTCTTTTGTATAAAGTGTGGTGTTTACAAGTTTCCTTTGTATAAAGTGTGGCGTTTACAAGTTTCCTTTGTATAAAGTGTGGCGTTTACAAGTTTCCTTTGTATAAAGTGTGGCGTTTACAAGAATATTCTTTATAAAAAGTGGCATGTATATAATCTTTTGTATAAACTATGGGTGCACTGACCTGTATACGCAGAAAAAGACAAGTGCGAATTTACAGAGGCATTCTAATCGTCTCAACAATTGGTCACATGGCTAAAAATGATTTGATGAGCGAATGTTCATAACAGGGATTTTTTTATTCTACTTAACTCGGTCTAGCAACATTTTTTTTTCAGATGGCCAAAAATTGGTATTGCAAGTATAGCATTGTTAATGACCATGTGCATTGGTACCAGAGCAGGTTTAGCTGTCCATCACAATCTTACATCATCCATGGCGTTGACGTAAGTATTGCATGTTAATAGCTACCATGTTTACGCTAGTTTTATACTGGTAGCAATGTATATACAAATCAGTATGTCTTGTTATGTATTGGATAAAGTCCGAGTACGACGAGGAATATGAAGTGCCACTCCGTAACAAAATGTCGAGGCCGAACAACAAAAACGGCTCGAATGTCGCTCTAGGAAATGTAATGTATGCCCCTCTTTTCAAATAGAATATGCCCTAGAGCTGGTATTGTTACGTTATATGTGAATTGTGAGCTAAGTATATACGTGTGTGCTAATCGTCAGCATTTATAATTGTGCTGTTTTTGTTGTAATTGACAATGTCCTTCATCAAATTCCAGATGGCTACTATTGTTTCCTTATTTTTTATAGGGTTAGCGATCCTGAGAGGTATTTTATAAGCTCGCCATACTACTATACCAAACCGTGGACCCGTATTTGTACATATCTAATCGGCATGATAGTAGGTTATGCATTGGTTAAAACGTCCTGCAGAGTAAAGATTCCCAGGGTGAGCATGTGACTGTTATTGTGATTGTTCGACGGAAGTGTGACAGGTCGTTGACCCTGGACGATCTCATTTTCATACTTATAATCAATAATCACCTTGCGGCGTTATTCAGAAGTAGGGCCAGTGAATTACATTACGTCACATTTCGCCACACGATATCCAAATTAGTTAATTTAATTTTATATGTACATATATTTAAGCATATTTCATAGAAATATATATTAATTGTAAATATAGATTGTAAATGTGGTATGCTGGGCAGCAGCGTGGATTATCGCCTTAGCTGTTCTCTATGGCTTATACAGTACATTCCACGGCACTGTGTTATCCAGACCTGTTGATGTATTCTATATGACAGTGTGCCGAATAGCCTGGGGAGTTGCCATCGGTTGGTTGACTTTCGCCTGTCTCACGGGATATGGAGGTATGATAGTCGCAATTTATTTGTATAAAGTTTGTATTACTAGTCTGAGGTTGAACCGAGATTTACAATAACATATCTTCAACAGGTCCGATAAACGCCATACTGTCGTGGAAAGCGTGGATACCGATAAGCAGGTTGACGTACACTGCATATCTCATACACATCATGGTGATATTGGTTTACATGATGTATAGAGATAGGCTGATACACTTAACAGACTTTAATGAGGTAAGGAATAAACGTACGCCCCTGGACGGTGTTGGGTAACAACTCACTACCGCGTAACTGCTTCACGAGATGACAGAGGACAGTATAACGTCATATGTTGTTTATACTGATGATACGTTATTTTCTTACCAGATCTACATGTATATTGCGGGTTTGGTGCTGTCTTACTGTGCATCATTTGTTGTATCTCTGATGGCAGAAGCTCCCATGATGAGGCTGGAAAAGATACTCCTACGAAAATGTAAACGAGAGTAGTTTCAACGACGACGACGACGACGACGCCGGAGATGAAGTTGTATTCCTATTAGGTTACACGTCTTAGCAATTAAGATTCCCGATTTTCAAATGTTTGTCATATATTAATTGTGCTATATGTATTTGTTATTTATGTGGCAGTCTTTCTATCCGTCGTTTTAAATACTTGTACTTAAACAGAAAATTTTGAAATGAATTTTATAAGTTGTAGCAGAAGCAGGTGTTTTATTACAATCATGATTTTTTTTAAATATATATTCGGATAAAACCTTGATTACACCTCAAATTAAACTTATACAATTTATAAGTATTTGTTAAATATATTATTTTTTATAATTGTATATACCTATTCATGATTATTTAGTATTGTATCATACATGTGTTTGTCATTGTGCCTACATATGTCAATATCATTCACGGCCAATCATAATGTTTGTCGAATTGTGTTTATGTGTAATTGTAATTGGTGTAATTAGACATTAATTTAAACTATAATGCGCAATAAAGTGATATACAGCTGCATTGACTTTTTTATATTTGTTTTTTTAACTTGTTCTTTCGAGGGGAATACTACTTCTCCGTGTGTTGGTTAGTGTGCATAGTTTCGCATCGCATTTATCAACAATGTCACTGTTACTCAATGTTAAAATGATCTTTGTATTCAGGCAATATTAATACCTATCATTTGCACGAAATGTGATGAAATTAAACATGCTACGATGGGGTACTATTCTGGGATGGGAACAATTGATACACATAATACACACAATTCGTACTTTAACTATTGCGCAGATCAACGAGTACAAACTGAGACGTTACCAAGCTTTAAAATTAGGTATTGTCTGGTGATTGGAAGGTATCGAAAGAGTCGTTGTCCGCATAAACTGCAAAATGTGATGTTTGAACAGATTATTCAAATATCGGACATATTCAATCTGATCAGATTCAGATCAGATAATGAAATAAATGTATTTTGTAATCAGATGGACTCGATTTCCAGTATCTCCCCCTTCTTTGTCTGTTTTACTGCCTTCAAAGGTATTCAGTGTGTTCATACACGGGATTCGCCGAGCGCCCGAGTCTGACTCATTAGAATCCGACACAGTGTTGTAAAATAAATGGGGTGAGACTTGTTCTAATTTTAGCAATATTTGCTCAAGTGCATTATACAGTGTCACTGTTTTTCTTTCATTATTATTTTGATATGTTGCTCTTTGATCATATTGCGACATTATATTATCATTACTTGGGAAATCGTTTAACATTATTAGTCATGAACAAATCGTTATATCCTTATTATCCTTAATTATTTAGCATTTTTTATATTATTATTTCATTAACTTGTACGTTATTATATCATAAATAATAAGATAAAAGAGAAATTATGAAATTGTGTCCAAATAATTGCAAATTAATGACATTGACATGTTGACTGAGTTCTAATTGTCACATAATGACGTAACAATCGTTAAATACAGTAAACTCGGCATAATAATGATAGAATGTTGTTGAAATAATCTAAAAAATAAAGTTTAAATAATAATAAAGAATGCCAAATAACTACGTGATAAGGACATAATACGCAATAAAGCAATAATGTAAACATTGTCAAATAATGATAAATTATGAGGAAAGAATATAAGAACTAACAAATAAATATATTTAGTCCATTGTAGCAAAGTGAACCCTTAATCGCTGAAATCGGATAACACACGACTCACAGCGCGGCTGCATTACTATATTGGATTCCAACGCGAAGAACTTTTGCTGTGGTAGCGTCACGTTACTTTTATTTTCTAGAGCAGTGTAAGCATCTGTTTATGATGATAAAACCAATTGGCGGGACAGCTATTTTCACAGCAAGTGTCAAGAACCTAATTTACTTTTTCCGTTTATACAAATATGTTCCCATCGGGCGATACCAATTCTGAAGTTTGGGTAGAATATGACAGGACGAGCTAAAATTGGCAAATGTTTTTGTTTACATTGTCTCGCGTAGAATCTCTCCAAGTATATTTATGTGCTACAGTTGACCATAGTGTATGACCTAACTGGATACTTTGTTACACAGGCCATATTAATCGATATCGACTTTATAATCCATCAATGCAAATCCAGACAGTTACCCTTGAAGACTAAAAGTCTTCTTTTGTTATTTACAAAGAAGAAAAAAAACAGATATCAGTTACAATGTTAAAGACTAATCGTAATATCAAAAGCAAGCTCAGTTCCTCGTCGCCAGCGTTAGGCTTCATTGTCCAAATGAAGGTTCTCGCTCTATATGCGTTTCTGTTTCTGACTGTTCACATGAGGCGTGTGCAGTGTTCCTTCATCGCTAACATAGCACATGACAATTGCCAGCTTATGTGCCAAAATGTATCCTCCAAAGAGTGTCCCTACTTGTTGAAAGTACCACGGGCGGAAACAATGGATGCGTGCCCTCTTCTGTTGGAGTTGTCACATCGATCAGACGTCGACCAACTGGAGGTACAAATCGACAGGTTCGAGAAAAAGATACAATCGAACATACAAGTCGGTTTGGAAAGAGAAGAATGGGTTGAAACGTTGCTTGAGAAGCATGAAGAATTCGAGGCACACATGCGAGGAGTTCAAGACAGCGCTCATAAAACGGCCGTAAGACTACAACGACGGAATGAAGAACTTGAAGAGCAAAAGATCGACTTTATGAGCGAGATTGGACGTTTACGAGAGAAAGTGGAAAAATTTGGTAGGCAGGGATGTACTCTTGACGGTAGGTAATTGCTTTAAAAATGTTGTAGTTTTTGTCCCTGTAGTACGATGCCTTATAAGGTCTGATAGTTACTATGCACCGTACATGGGTTCGATTTATTTATTTATTTATGTATTTGTTTATTTATTTATTTATTTATTTATTTGTTTGTTTGTTTGTGTGTTTGTTTATTTGTTTATTTATTTATTTATTTATTTATTTTATGCTTATAAATTTATAAATTTTATGCTTTGAATCAGACAACTAATCAGCAACAAAGCGACTTACAATACACCAAAACAAACAACTTCGTGATTAACAATTGCGTTAAGAATTGACAGACGCGATTTCAAGGGAGTACTCCTCGTATATTTCAATGTCATATTTACTGGTTACCACCACGAACTAAGCCGAAAAAAACACGAAGCTTCTGAGTGTAATTCATGGCTAGACGTTGAGTTCTCGCGTGATGAGGTCGATGATCTGCATTCATTGATTTCAGCTATATAATTGTTTCCAGGTGACGAGTATGATTACAGTGAACTCTTGCACAAGTCATTGCTCTTTTACGAAGCACAAAGATCAGGCGCGCTACCATCAAATAATAGGATAGCATGGAGGGGTGATTCCGCGTTATACGACAGCGGCGTAAAAGGGGAAGATTTATCAGGTGGATATTACGACGGTAAGAGATTTTACTAGACTTGCTTAATATTTTTTTGACACTAAAAAGGTTAAATGGATAACATAAGAAATATTACAGTGCTGGCGAGTGATTGTGAAAAAACAAAAGACTTGTGTCCCTCGCGAATTTTGAGTTGATATTAATATTCGTGTGGTGTATAACACGGTGCGCGGCCTGGTGCCGGCACAACCGAACGAAGGTACTGCACCTCCCAGTAAACGGGAAACGAACTAATTGCATATTAAGCACATAATGCATGGCCATGAGGGCACTAGTATACGTCTATTTCCCCGACGGGTTGTGGGGTACCAACAATACCTGCTATTTCACGAGGCCGTGACTGAAAATAACATTTACTGAATGTATTTCACAGTTGTTTTTTTTCAGCAAACAATATATGTATATTATTAAGTAGTGTGAAACTTGTTATAATAGATAAAATAAAATATTGCCTACTTCAAATAAAAGTAACGTTATTTTGTGGGAGAGCGGGTGTGAGTGATGTCTGTTCGATGTGATAAAATAAATAATACATGGTTATTCGGGCAATATCACAATTTGTTGTCTGCCCTCGGGCTGTTGGTC